CGGCGCCTGCCCGGCCCCCGCGGTGCTGTGGTCCCCGCGGGCCGCGCTGGGCGCCGACCCTGCCGAAGGAACGTGCACGACAGCCTCGCCGGCGGAGTCCCAGGCGTTTCCCGCGGCGTTTTCCGTGGGAGGTCTGGGAACCTAATGACTGCATTGAAATAGCTCAGGAAGTGGTAATTTGGAGGAGCCGAAGTGCTTTATTATGGTAGAACAAAGTTCTTACTACCGGAGCAAATAGTGTATTATCAGTGAAAATTAGTGCTGGAAGAATTACATTAATACAGCCAGATCAGCTAGCATTGTGATGGCGTTGCACAGACTACGGAGGTAGTTGTCGTGTGTACATAGGATTCACCCTGGAAAGTCCCATCCCCAATAGTAACTCCTGATGAACATGTGCAGTGCAGCGTTCTTCTGTGTGTTTTAGTTTTTATTTTTTTTATTTTTTCAGTTTTTCTCCGGTACCGGAAATCGAACTCACGACCTTGCGCTTGCCAGGCAGGCGCTGTGCCGCTTAACTAAATCACCAGCCCCTCTTCTGTGTGTTTTATATAAAACATCTTTTATTCTTTTTGAGAATGTACCTCCTCAAAGAGCCAAAAGAGTAATGTCAAACACAAAACTATAGTTTTTAAGTTGATCATTCAGCTTTTAGTTTCGACAAAGGTAAAGTTTGAACTTTTTAGTTTCAGCCAAACTAACACCAAATCTTTTACTGTATTTATTCCCTAGCTGATACTTAACTTTCTGCTTTTAATTGACAAATAATAACTACAGTGAAACCTTGAGTTGCGAGTAACTCGTTCTGCAAGTGTTCCCCAGAGGAGCAAGCACTTCTAATAAATTTCATAAACAAGCAGTGTCTTCCAATGCAAGGGATTCATGACACCACACGTCACGTGATCACAACTGAGCCAATGGTTCTCTTTTCGTTTCTCGGTTTCTCTCTCTCTCTCTCTCTCTCTCTCTCTCTCTCTCTCTCTCTCTCTCTCTCTCTGTGGAAGGGTGGGTGATTGTCCTGTTATCTAGTAGTTCCTTTAGAAATGCTTCACCAATTAAACGTATTCCAGGTCCTTCTTCCTGCGAACAAAGAATTGAACAAGATAAGACAAAATTGGTGCCAAAAGTTTGTTTGAAAAGTGAAGGGTAGCTAAGCATGGTGGTGCAAGCCTGTAATCCCTACAATGTTTACACATGCAAGTCTGGTTTATTTCACTTATGAGTATGGTCTCTAGTTGTATCCATTTACCAATAAAAGCGTCAAGTTTATCTTTATAGCTGAGTAGTATTCTATGGTCACTAGTATCTTATTTGTTAAGTGGATCAACTAGGTCTTTGGTCCTGCAGTGAAGAAACACCTTTTAGAAAAAAATCTGCTGTGTACAGCCACACAGCCATGAATGCGCCTGATCTCATCTCATCTTGGAAGCTAAGGAGGGTCAGGCCTGGTTAGTACCGGTTAGTACTTAAATGGGAGAAAACAATCTGGCTCTCAAAGCCTTACCGGTTATGTCTGATGCCCCTGCTCATCCTCCAGGCTTTGTGGATGACTTACTGGAGAAGTTCAAGTTCTGTAAGGTCAAGTTCCTTCCTCCCAACATCACTCCAGTCCCGCAGTCCATGGATCAGCAGGTCATTTCAAACTTTAAAAGGCTGTACACCGATGCACCATGTCAGTGATACTTCAAGGTGACTGAGCGAACAAACCTTATTCTCCGAGAGTTTTGGAAAAATCACTTTCTCAAGATCATCAGTAAAGCCTAGGATGGCATCAGCAAGAGAACTCTCACTTCTGCTTGGAAAAACTATGGCCTGATTGTATCCTTGGGTGTAACTTAGAGGGCCTTCCTCATCCAAAGGAGCCACCAGTTGTCAATGAAATTGTGTCCTTGGGGAAGAACATGGGACTGGAGGTGAATGAGGATGACATGCAAGAGCTGCTGAAGAAACATGGCCAGGACCTGACCGCCAGCAAACGGATGGATCTGTATCATGAGGAATACCAAGAGATGATGGTAGAGCTCTCATCTGCAGGAAAGGAGAAGAGAAAAGGCAGAGGATGCAATGTCACTTTCCCACAAAAAGAAAAAATTCCCTTGAGCCAATAGATGGCAGCGATTCCATTAGTAACAGTGAAAGTCGTCCTACCCAGTAACCCTCCTCTCCCTTTCTTCCTCACCCCAGCCACAAAGGTTTTCAAGGTATTTGCGAGGTAATTTGTTTATTTTCTTTATACTTGCATTTTCTTTATTGTTTTGTATTACACTACAGTGTTATGATTGTTTTCATATGACTACTTTTGGGTTGTGGAACAAATCATCTGAGTTTCCATTATTTCTTATGGGGAAATTGGCTTTGATATACAAGTGGTTTGGATTACAAGCCTGTTTCTGGAACGAGTTACGCTCACAAACCAAGGTTCCACTGTGTATCTTGATGGAGCACATTGTGCTTTTTCAATACACGTGTACACTGTGGAATTGTCAAATGGGGTAATCAGCATACCCATGTCCTTAAGTACTTTGTGTGTGTGTGTGTGTGTGCGCTGAGAAGATTTAAAATCCATTCTTCTAGCTATTTTAAAATGTATAATATGGAAGTATTAACTATAGTCACCATGTTGTGTAACAGACCCTGAGAATGTATTCCCCATGTCTACCTGAAACTTTGAACACCATCTCCCCTTCCCCCACCCACTCTCCTATCCCCTGAATCTCTTAGTTCTGATTCGCAGCTAATTTTTACTTTCATTTGCAAATAGAAGAGAGGAAGATGATCTGTGGCAGGCCATCACTTGCCTCCCCAGGGGAAAGACTGGGTATATTTTTATACATACAGTTTCCTCCTTTTGTTTGCATGATACAGATTTATTATTCCGTGTTTCAATGTTTTTAAATTATAAAATAGTAAGAGATGCTGAGTTTTAAATAAGTAAAAACAAACCCTAACTCCAACTATAAAATGAAAGAGTAAAGTTGATAATAGCGACCATTACTCTCAATGTTTTAGATTTAAATGGGACTGTAAGAAGCGTAAACGATACACATCATAAAACAGCCTTCAGCTGAATGTAAAATTGGTGTTATGCTTTTAGCAAACACTTAAAATATCAGTCCTGTCCTATGGCAACAGAAACTCACAGTGTCATCTTTAAAATGAAGATTATTCAATGTAACGGTCTTGACAGTTTTATCAGAAATATCTGCTACTATAAATTTAACTATTATAAATAGAATACAGCTGGGCGTGATGGTGCATGGCTGTAATCCCCGCACTGAGGAGGCTGAGTTGGGGGTATCACAGTGAGTTTAAGCCCAGCCTGAACTACACAGCAAGCCCCTGTCTCAAAAAAGAAAAAAAAAAAAATGAAAGATTGCAAAAGGGGCCAAGAACAGTTTCATACAAGAGCTGGTAATCTAAACAAAATGCATACAGCCAGGTATTTGCCTAATGTGAAGCTCCAGCATGCTTTCAGGTTAGTCTCCCACTCCCCACAGCAGCTCTTCCCTGCTTTTTTTTTTTTTTTTTTTTTTTTTTTTTTTTTCCAGTGCGCCACCGGGAACCGAACTCACGACCTTGCACTTGCCAGGCAGGCGCTTTGCCACTGAGCTAAATCCCCAGCCCCTGCTTTTTTTAAATGATCTTCCTGCCTCAGCCTCCTGAGTGCTGGGATTACAGGTGTGCACCACCAAGCTCTGCTGTTCCCCATTTTTACACCTTCCCCTGTCTCACGGTTTCCTGCTGAGCCACTCAGCCCTGGACCCAGCAAAAGGTGTGACCACAGCAGGTATAGAAGAGACCTCTGCAGTCCAGGAGTGGCGGCACACACCTGTAATCCCAGCACTTGGAGGCTGAGGCAGGATTGCTGCGAGTTTGAGACCAGCCTGGGCTACAAAGTGAGCTCAAGGCCAGCCTGAACTGCATAGCGAGACCCTGTCTCAAAAAGACCAAAGCGGGGGTAAAAGGACCTCCTTAGCTTTTCCTTCTACCTACAAATCTGTCTGTCAGTATCTGGATCCGTGCGCACTTATTTTCTTCCACCACCAAGGGAAAACTGTCTCTTAATTAAAGCTTGGCTCTATACTCATATTGTACACGTGGTTTTTGGAGGATCTGTAGACCATCAGCATAGAAAGCAACTTAGAAACTGATGCAGAACTGCTAAATTTTTAATCCTAACAAAAGAACTACATATTTGTAAAGTCCTCTTATCTCTTATCAGCATGATTCCCTAATAGAAGTGCATCTTCAACACCAAAGACTAAACTTGAAAACTTTTTATTTGCTTTCCCTGTGGAGAACTGAAGCCGTCACAGCCCTTGTGCATTTCAGACCTCTTCTCAGAACTTATCCCCTGAGAACTCTGCTCTGTGAGTACAGTATTTTCTGTTTGTTTTTGTCGATGTTACTTGTTTGGTTTTTGTTTTTGATACAGGGACTCACTATGTAGTTCAGGCTGGCCTTGAACTGGGGCACTCCTCCTGCCTCAGCCTCCTGAGTCTAAGGATTACAGGTATGTGCCCTGACACCCTGCTCAAATTCAGTATTTTCTTTCTTTTCTTTTTTGGGAAAATATTCTTTTTTATTTTAAAAATAAAAGAACGAAAACATATTAACAAACATACATTTACAAAATAACACAAGAACAACACAAACAGTACTGAAATTCAGACACAGTGATAGGAAATTAACAATGGTGTTTGTATTACATATTGATTTCTTCAAAGTGGTTACTCAGGAAAACAAATATAGACATGTAAGATTGATCAAATAATTAATCATTAACTGTTCCTTTCAATAAAGCGATAGAAGTCAGTAGTACAACTATGTTAGCTATCCTATATATACATGTGTACATAATTTTCCCCTTCTCCCTTTTCCCTCATCCCAGTTGCTCTTTACTTTTGAGCAGTTTCCTTTTGTTTCACAATATTTATCATACTTCCTAATTTTATTCACTCAGGTTGTTACACTAATGAGACAATATGTTGTTTACACATGCAGGTCTGATTTATTTCACTTATGAGTATGGTCTGTAGTTGTGACCATTTACCTATAAAAGCCTCGAGTGTATCTTTCTTTATAGCTGAGTAATATTCCATTATATAAAAATACCACAACTTTTTTATCCATTCCTCAGTGGTAAATTCAGTATTTTCTATGGCTCCTTTACTGAAGACTGTCTTACCTCTCCTTTCTCCATATAAAAACTGCCTTAAATTCTAAGACTACTTCTTCATTTTAGTTTCTATTTACTCTCTTTTTAAGAGTAAGAAGCATTAATTTTAACAAAACAACGTAGATGTATATAAGGTATATTCATAATTATATAAAGTATATAAAGAAAAAGATAGTTTTGTGCCATCATGAACAATTCTGGAATAAGTATGCTTCTGCATTTATCTTCTTTAAATTGTACAATTTTTCCTACAGAATTCATCGTGAAAGTGAGATTGATAAGACAAAAGATATATAAGCCTGGGTGTGGTGGCACACTTCTGTAATCCCAGCACTCAAGAGGCTGAGGCAGGAGGATCGCAATGAGTTCGAGGGCAGCCTGGGCTACATAGTGAATTAAAGGCCAGCCTGACCTACATAGTGAGACTCCTGTTTCAAAAGATACGTTCATTTTTCATGGATACCACCCATAAAAGATAAGGATTGGGGTTTTGCCACTCAGCAGTCCTTTCTCCTTTTTCTCGCAACAGTACTCATTGCCTTTCTTTAGACGACTCAGTCTGGTCCTCTCTTACCCTGCAGCTGCTCCTTGCCGGTGGCAGGTTCCTCCACTGCCTTCTTTGCTGGCTGACTCACACCTGCTGAGGAGAATATATGTCCCACTAGTTATAATATTCTTTAGTTCAGGGATGGACGCGTGAATCAATTCAAATTATTCAGAATTAGATGGGGGACTTTCATTCTGTGCTGGACTTGCTGTACCTATGTAAGCTGTCTTCATGAAGAAAGATCCCTAAGGGGACTGACTTGCATTCAGAGGAAGACAGAATGAAGACATTAAAAAAGTCTAGGTGCTGATGATAGCATTTAGGTAGACGAGCTAGCTACCATATTTCCCCCAAAATAAGACCTAACCAGAAAATAAACCCTAGCATGGTTTTCCAGGATGTTTATAATAATAAACCCTACTCCAAAAATAAGCCCCAGTTAAGATCGTCAGCCAGACGGATGCATTTAGTACATTGATTGTAATACGTGATGGATGTAATGAATTATAAAGTAGTATCAATATATAATTGTAATAAGTATGACAGCTGTCACTACTTAAATGATAATATAAATTATAATTAAGTATTTGTAAATACCCAGGTAGTCATCTTTGGACAAGAGATAAAATCTATGTAAACAGACGAACTTGAGACATATTTCCCAGTGACCATTTGTAGTGCAGACACAACACACAAATAACACATGTACTTGATACCAAACGTGGCTGTGTCTAACGTGGATCTTCATAATTCAATACATTGTTTGTTGAAGCAGACATACATAATACACTTGTGGGAAATAAACATTTTCTGAATTTTTGTGCCTACCATTTTTGTTTGTTTTTGCATGAACCATCATTCTTTTTTCTGTTTTTGTTTTTTTTGTCTTTTTGAGACAAGGTCTCACTATGCAGTGCAGGCTGGCCTTGAGCTCAGTTTTTAGTCCAGGCTGGTCTCAAACTCACAACAATCCTCCTGCCTCAGCCTCCCGAGTGCTGGGATTACAGGCGTGCACCACCATACCCAGCTGGACCATCTGTCTTAGCTGTCATTATCTTTGCTGCCATGCCTGTCTCCTAAGCCTACAGTTAACATCAGATCTAATGGACACTTCCTGAGGCCTGGCCTGCAAGAGGTGGTGACTTGGGTGAAGAATTCATGGGATAAAATCACAGACAGCTGCGTTGCCACTGCACTATGAGCAGGATACACAGACTGTTTATAGCCTTTGCATGTTTTTATATTGAGATGTTTATTTTCATCTTTTTCTAACCTATATTATCCCTTTTATATTAGCGCTTCTAACACCTGGTGTTGTATATGGATAGTACTATATTTTTGGCGTGATCTTTTGATTTTTGAGACAGGGTCTTGCTATGCAGTTCAGGCTGGCCTTGAACTCACTGTGTAGCCCAGGCTGGCCTCGATCTCACGTGATCTTCCTGCCTCAGGCTGGGATTGCAGGCGTGCGCCACCACACCTGGCTGTCTACTCACCCTTAAACTTGCTGCGCTTTGGTTGATGTCACGACTACACCACTGAAACTGTTCCTGGAAAGGGTCATTAGTGACCTCGCATCTGTCAAGTACAGCGCGCTCTTTACCGTCCTTCACAAACAGTTGTCTTCTGTTGAGTGCCTACTGTGTGCAGGCTGTATGCTAAGCACTGATGGTATGAAGATAAGTAGGACCCTGTTTCTGCCCTTAAGGATTTATAGTTTCGTGCAGCCATAAAGCAGAGGAAGAAAACGTCAGAATGTAATTGATGCTGATGTTAGGTTGTGTTAGGAGCTGAACTGTGACCCTCAAATTTTATATTCTGAGGTCCTAACTGCCAGTACCTCAAAATGTAGTCATATTTGGAGATTTGGTCTTGAAAGAGGTGATTAAATTTACATCTGCTCTCTAGAGTGGATAGGACTGGTGTCTTTTAGGAAAAGCCAGTAAGACAGAGAGATCTATGCATACCAAGGGCAGACACTGTGGGGCTAGGGAAGGAAGACGGCCATCTATAAGCCCAGTGGAAAGGCCTCAGAAGAAACAGCCCCACCAACACCTTGCCCTTGAACTTGTAGCCTCCAGAACTGTGAGAAAATGAATTTCTGTTGGCTAAGCCTTTAGTCACTGTTACAGCAGCCACAGCAAATGAATACAACTTGTCTCTACAGCACCATTTCACAACCCCCCCATGTGTCACCCGTGTGATGTGGAAGGCAAGGACTGAAACATACCACCCATCCTAGGAATGAACCCTGCTTGAAACTATTCAAGGTAATCTTTTTTTTTTTGTACTGGGAATTGAACTCAGGACCTTGCGCTTGCCAGACTTGTGCCACTGAGCTATATCCCCAGCCCTAAGGTAATCCTATAATTCTTGCCACGCTGGGTGGTTTGGGAAACCCAGACATCCCTTTGGCCGATTTGTGTCAACAAAATTTGAAGAGCTCGTGAATCTAAGACTGTCCCTTGTTCTTCGGGTGAAAGCTGGAAGCTTGCTCTCCTGCTTGGAAGATGATGAGTGAGGGCGCAAACCCTGGAATTACTGGGGCCCCTCTGCTACCGTGGGGGAGAAGGTGGGCTGTGGAGCGGTGCTGCCTCTGAAGGCGCAGCAGAGAGAGAGCAAGACAGGCTCCTTCACATCATTGCGCCACTGAAACATTCTTGCCGAGGGAGCCAATAAATCCCCTATATTATTTAAGTGATTTTGATTTTTAAAAATTTATAATTATAAGGGCCTTAATAGTGATAGGATATGTAGGGAAGGGAACTTACCAAAAGTCACGTTTCCTAGGAAACACACTTTGAGATGAAACGCAAGAGTACAGAAATTTCGTTGAGGAGCGTCCTCAGGATCCTCCCTAAAGACGCACAAGCAGAGGAAGGAGTTGAGTTGCAGTGAAGTCCAGCAGAGGCCTCAGCCATTCGTACAGGAAGCTCTGAACACCTTTGTCCCCTCACTGAAGGACTCACCATTTCGGCAGCCCTCTGCATCAAAGGGGAGGTCCTGGTGGCAGATTACATTGAGAGCTGCCAGCTTCTACTATTTTCAGCAGTGCATGGAGGGACTGCTTCAGCCCTAACCTGAGGGGACCCTGCAGTGCCCCATATCCACTATGTCCGCCCCTGTACACACACTAAAAGGATTCTGCTAGGCTTACAGGAACGAGAAGGTTGGAGAAGGTTGATAGGACTAACTGCAGTCCTGGAAGCTGTGATCTTCCTCTGCCACACATTCTAGAGCCCCTTTACTCTCTTCCGGTCTAGGTAGTCACCATGGTCTTATTGTTTGTGTCCTCCAAAATTCACATGTTGAAATACAGTCGCCCATCTGGTGGCAGTAGGAGGTAGGACGATTGGGAGGTGATTTGGTCCCAAAGGTGAAGCCTTTATGAGTGACATTGGCGCCCTCATGGAAGAGGCCACAGGAGCTGCCTCCCCTCTTCTGCTAGGTGAGAATGGGCACCCAGAAAGGAACCCTCACGAGACGTGGAGCCTGCTAGTGTCTGGATCTTGGGATTCTCAGCCTCTAGAACTATGAGAAATAAATTTCTGTGGGTTATAGGCTTTATGGTCTCTGATCATAGCAGCCTGAAAGGACTCAGGCACTAGCTTACCTGGTGGGACGACCCAGACCCTCTTCACTCAGGGGCCTGGGTCCTTCATCAGCAGGCCCTCCTCAGGTTGTGGCTACAGCGCTTGTCCAGGTACTGTTTCCATGGAGCAAGTGAAAACCAAAAAAATGCACAGACATATCACCTAGAGGTCAAGCATTCTTTCCAGTCCCCATTAAATGTCTACCCTACTGAAAGCCAGGGTTAATTTCCTTCAGCAGGAGGATGACTCCTTTCCTCATCTGATTTCTTTCAGGAGACTGAAATGACCAGGCAGCAGCTGGGAGCTGCAAACTTCCAGTGTCCCCTGACAGGAGCATTTTCCCTCATTGTCTTGGATTGACAACTGGTGGTCAACTTGTGACACCAGCTGAACTTAACCAGCGTGGTGCCTGGTGTGGGAGCCCACCTGAGGACTGTGGCCAGCAGCATAAGTGGCAGAACTGGAGAAGAAGTGAGGCTGTTGGCAGCTGGTAGAAGCTGTTGGGAGCCTGTTGAAAGTGGAGAGAAGCTGAAGGAGCTGTTGGTTCTGTTGGAGGAGCTCGTCATGCTGGCTTTCCTGATGAACTTGGCTGTTTTCATCCTCTGAGGAGCTCGAGACTTTGTTGGCACTGAGAATGGCTATGATTCACTTTGGGGGAGCTCTGGTTCTCACTTTGAGCATCACTTCCTGGTTCTTAAGGGGAAGATAGTGCAATGCTCAGTCACCTGGAGAAGCTTGTCATATTGGCTTTCCTCATGGGAACTTGGCTGTCCTCACCATTGGTGGAGCTTGGGACCTCACTGTTGCTGAGGATGGCTGTGCTACTTTTCAGGGGAGCTCTGGTTCTCAGTTTGAATGTCACTTCCTGGATCCAGTGTAGATTCCTCAGCACAGATCCTTCATCCTGCTAGCACAGACTTTCTAGATTCCACCACCGACCTTTGGGCCTTCCAGCACAGATCTGTGAAACAAACCTGCATGAGACATTGTCCTGGGCTCTAGGCCTTCAGCTGGACTCATGGGAGGCACTGTTATGGGCTCTAGGTCTTCAGCTGGGCTCATCCAGGACATTATCCTGGGATCCAGCCCTCAGATGGATTCTTTGGTTGGTAGTATATGGACAGGTGTCCCGCACTCTTTGTATATGATTCTTTGGGTGACTATTATGAATAACCTTATAAAATATGAGTCCTGTGTTGTCTTGTTCTCCTTTGCAAAACCCCAAACCATAACACTCTGGTAGCCAAAACCTTGCCGTTTTAGGGAAAGGAGGTACATATTCCCCAAGTGAATCATGGGATTCACAGCACACTGAGATATTTCTACTTGCAATCTTTAGCCCATGAACCATGTATTCTGCCTATCAGGGACCCAGTACAGTATGGTAAATATTGATGTAGAGTTTTGGTTGACTGATTTAGAGAGTGTACGCTGAGTTTTGGAGGACGGTGCTTCTTCACACACTGTCTGTGCAGGCATCTCAGCTGAATCTTTAGCAGGTTATTCCAGTGCGCCATCAGTCTAGCAGCTTCCAGGTGGTGTAGTATATGATAGTAGCAGTAGGACCTATGGTCATATGCTGAGTGCTACACCAGCTCCCGGGTCTGTGGATCAAACATGTTATACATCCCCAGTAGTAGTAGCTGGACCCTTTGGGCAGGAGATCCAGCTTGGATTACGTTAAAATTCCAATCAAGATAAATTTTGATACCATTCCAAGTGGGGTATTGTCCTGTGTAAATAACGTGCCACCAAGTAGCTTGCAGTCTTGCTAAAGGGGTGCTGCCATACAAGGGGCCAAGGATGGTCACCGTTGCTGGCAAATCAGACATTTGACCATGGGAGTACCTTGCTATTGGGAGCCCGTGCAAAGGGGTCCATCTTTAACTTGCATTTTTGTCTGCCTGGCTACTCTGATCATATGCAGGTTGGGCCAGCACTACTGTAGTTAATGGCTACACTACTAGTGTAGATTGGCTGATACCATTTGGCCAAATTATTGTGGGTTTTTGGTCATTGTTTATTGCCACATTTGCAATGGTTGCTCTGTGTTGGGTATTAATATGTGACACAGTGATCCTGCATTTATGGCCGCCTTCATAGGTTCATCCAAATGCGTCTGTCCCAGACCTCTTTGTCCCACACCATTCTTTTCCCAGACCCTGACCACACAGATAGGCCTTGTGTCGGTGCCTCTAAGTTTATGATAATCCTACTTGGAGGCACTTACCTTCCATGTAAAGTAAGTGGCGAAGTACATAAGCCAAATCTCTGTCCACTTGGAAGTGTGCCCTTACTGCGACTTACCTACCTTTTAAAATGATGGCCTGTGGCACTTGGACATTGGGACTGCCACCTCTGGGCTCCCCACGTGGAAAATGGGCGGGCCAGGTGAAGCACAGGGAGGAAACAGCATTTACTGAGCTCAGGCCAGGAGTTCAGGGGTCTTGAGAACCTCTGTGTATTTGTCAGTGTTCTTCACTTTGTTTTCAGGCTGTTTCAGCAGCCTGATGTCCCCCTCTTCCTACTCTGCCTCCTCGTCCTTGTTCTCCCCTTCTTTATCTTTCCTTCCTCCCTTGTTACTCCTTTCCCCCTTCTTAGTAATAGTAGATGTTGGCCTTCCTCCTCTTTTCCAGGGTAACTGTCACTGCCTGGTATTTCCTGGGCCATGAACCCAAGGTAGGTCAATGCCCAGCTGGGCTTTGGAAACACAAACTGGAGGGCAGTGTAAACCACCATCTCCTTTTTTTTTTTTTGGCAGGGGTTCATGGGGTGCTAGGAGTTTTCTAAACTTTATCGTTAGAGACAATTTTGTCATCTGCCCCTCACCTGAGCAGTATGCTTTGCATGGTTCTGCCAAAAAAATATCACTGGGGCTAGGAAGCAGCAGAGCCCCTGAAATGACAGGGATTGCAGGACAAACGTGTTCATGGCATTGCCGAAGAAGGCTGTGGACTAGACCTGGTTTCTGTAGCAGGTGATGCCCTTGCAGACCACAACTGGCACTTTCCCTACACATCTGGCCGTGGTCACCAGGTGACCAGGTGGTCACCAGGCAACCTACAAAGTGGCCTTAGCTATCCTGTCACCTGGAGCCTGTCCTCTGCCACATTTGACCACCTCCTGGGAAAAGCAACAGATGATTTTTAAAAAGGTATTTATGCCGAGCAGGGCTTGCTGGCTCCCCCAAGCACCAGAAGTGCCAATGCGCTGTCATATTAACACACGTAGGTTTTTCTGTCCTAATAAAATCTTCAGCTTTTCTTCTGTTCTCTGGGTACCCCGGAGACCACCCTCACTATGCATGTGTGTTCAGATTACAACCCTGTGCCTTACTCACAAAAGCTTCCTTTCACTGACTTGGACAGGGTCTCTGTTGTGACTGTCCCACGGGGGCTCACCATAAACATTTTGATTTGTACCAAAGACAAGAAAATATGAATGCAAATGGTCCCTAACTTATGATGGTTTGAGTTAAGATGATGCAAACAGCATAACCATTTAGCAGAAATTGTATCTAACACTTTGAATTTTGAACTTCTCCTGGATCACTGATACGTGGTGTAACACCCTCTCATGACGCGAGGCAGTGCCAGTGAGCCCCGAGATCGTGAGTGTGAACATCGCACACTCTACAGCATACCCTGGGGCTAAGTGATGAGGTTTGGCAGGTTAGGCATATTAAAAACTTTTTGATTTATGATATATCTCATATATGGTGATTTTATTAGACTGTAAGCCCATCATAAATCAAGGAACATCTGTATAGACGTGCGTAATAAGAAAAGCAAGAAGTTTTCTAAACTTTATCGTTAGAGACAATTTTGTCATCTCATCAGCATCCTAGCAAACATCCTTAAGAACTTTTCCTATGTATATACCTAAAGCTGTGGATTGCTGTTTTCACAGCATGTTTTTTTATTCAAAATATGTCAATGAATCTAGATGTACATCATCTCATTTACATATGTCATAAATTAACCAGTTTGCTCTAGATTAAATTCTTAACTGGGTGGTGCTGCCCTCTAGAGTATATTTTGTGAATAGATTATTTACATGATGAAATGTATATTTTTAAATACATTATATAATTTTTATTTTTCTTTTAAATATGGTGTAGGCATATTTTATTGTAGGTATCTATGACTTTCAAGACAATAGAGAAGACTTCGCAAAATATTTCTTATAACGAGAGGGCCAAGTCAGCTAGGATTGATAAATTCTGCTTACATAGGCACTCCTTTAATAACTGAGTGACCTCCCCCTCTGCGACCAGGTCTTTAAGCGAATTGGTTGCTAAATAAGGAATTGTATTTAGTATGTATTTTGCAACCTTCAGAACAAAGAAATGGTCAAAGAAAACTCCAGCTTGATGACTACTTTTATTTGCAAACCCCTTACATACAGTACTGTAATGTATGACAACAAAATTACAGTACTGTACAGTACAGTCAGCAACAATTATAGTACTATATAAGCAAGGTGTACTGTACTGTACAAAAAGACACATTGATGCTCTATCAACAGGATGTAGAGGACAGTACACACACATACCAGACCAGTCTCAAGTTGGAACTGAGGGTAGTAAGTCTAAACAGTTGTTAAACAGGTAGGTTGTTAAACAAGGAAAAATTGTAGAGGAACACAAAATATTTTCAATTTTTTATATTATTAAAAATGGTGTGCTAAAGATCTTTGTACATTCATCCTTTGGGGAGAGTTGCTAAGTCAAAGGAGGTGCATATTTTTAAAAATCTCACAAATTGTATCACTTTCACCAGATGCCAATGGAAAGTGTGAGTATCGATTTCTTTGATCACCCACAAACAGTCACACAGTCGTGATGTAGGCAGAGTCACTCTCCTCTTAAAAGATAGGTAAGATTTTATTAAAACTCGTATTGATGCTGTGGGGTAGTTCTAGAGACCTCCCCATGATTCTAAACTTCTAGAAACTGACTTTTTTTTTCTTGGCCACTTCTGGGTTTAATTTCTGACTTCTATTTATTTTTCTCCTTTCTAATTTTTTAAAAATAATTACTATATTGAGAAAAACTGCACATGCCACATGATTCACACATTGCATATGTAAAATCCGTATGCAATGGATTTTAGTATTTTCAGTTTAGCAACTATCGGTATGATGAATTTTAAAACATTTTTCCTCACCCCCAAGAGCAAACCTCCCCTTTTCCCCAACCTCCCGACTCTAGGCAACTGCTCATCTGCTTTCTGGATGGATATGCCACTCTGAGAACTTCACATAAATGGAATTGTAAAATACATAGGTTTCTGTCAGTGGCTTCTTTTGCTTAGTACAATATTTTCAAGATTCATCTTGTAGCAAGTAGCAGAACTTCCTTCCTTTTAATTGCTGAATAATATTCTGTTATGTGCATATACCACATTTTATTTATCTGATCCTTG